AACAATATTTTCGGTTTCAATTAATGTTTTCTTGTTCTGAAGTTGAAAGTTGATGATAGATGTTTTGTAAGGTTCGTCAGCAAATGACGTCAGAGATTGGCTTGTTGCCTCCATTGTTGCAAATGTAGTTGACTGGTTCCGGTTATCTCTGTGATGTTTTTTTTCAAAAGATTTATCCACGAATAATGCGCCTGAATACAATAGCAATGTAGCAACTTGTTTGTGTCTCCGGAATCAGGATGGTTTTATCTCACGTGTCATTTCTCACTCTCGATTTCCCCAATCCTTTGGTTGTCAGCACTACTAAGACAAACATCTAGTCTCTGAAATGAACATATGTTTACAGAAATACAGTTCCTAAATTATAATCATAAAATATAATAAAAAGGAGCCCAGAGTCTTTTTCAGAAACTGTGGAAATCTAGACTTCCCACATAATATAGACTTTCATGGGCTTTCTGGGATATATCTGTTTCATGGAGAATGATGACAATGTTTATGGATATAGAACTTCTTTTATTCTTTATATCCATAAAATTTTCATCATTCTTCATCAACTCAACTTCTAAAATGCCCATCAAAGAAATCTGTTTCATGGTCTATAGTCTGAGCACCACTATGCTGCCGTGTTACCACCAAAGTGGTAGGCCTTAGGGTTTCCAAGTGAGTGAGTTTAGTTCTACGCTGCTTTTAGCAATATTCCAGCAATATCGCGGCGGGGGGACACAACATGGGCTTCGCATATTGTATCCATGTGGGGAATCGAATCTGGGTCTTCAGCGTAATGAACGAACAAGGCTACTCTACCGCCCCAGGGATCAAGGGGGTTCCGGGTAAGAATATTGGTTCCCAGCTACCAGTGGTTGTCGGGAGGGTAGACTAAATGGATCAGATAATCAGGTTAGCATGATGTCAATCACTGGATTATCTGCTCAAGATTACATTATTGGCGCACCATATAGCTGCAATGCTGTTGTGTGTGGCTTTAAATAGCGAACAAAGAGACGTCGGGAAGTTTTTGAGCTTCCTGGCGTCGTGGCGTGACAGAAATACCGGACAATTGTTTTAAAACAATCTGGCTCCCAGCCAAGGAAGGTGCTGACTAGGAAGGTTGATATAGTAGCAAATAGATAGTTTTATCATTACGTCTTAATCTTTCCTTCTTCCTCCTTGTTAAAGATGTGACAACAAACACTGTTCAGCAAGCTTAGCCACTCATGACAAGTGTCTTTGACCGTATATCAGTCTTAACAAACAACCATATACATTAGCGAGTGAGTGAGTGAGAGGCTGTGTAGGCGGACGAGTGGGTGAGATTAAAAAATCACTTTGATAGGTCCCTTCATATTGCTGACATGTGGCTTTCAGCTGCTTATGAATCGTCCTCACTCTTCCTGTGCTCTATATCTAAATTATTTTATAGTGAGTGAGTGAGTCTAGTTTTACGTCGCTTTTAACACTATTCCAGCGATATCACGGCGGAGGACACCAGAAATGGGCTTCACACATCAAACCCGGGTCTTTAGCGTGACGAGCGAACGCTTTAACCACTAGGCTAAATTGTTTTATAATATATTTATTTTATTAAAATGGACAAGTATTACTATGGATCGGGGATTCGTGGTTGAAATTCAGGCAGGTATAGGAACAATTTTCTTGGCCGGATAAGTATAATGGATAAAGTTCCTCCAGGTATAGGCTTAAACGAATTTCTGGATCAAGTGTTTCTTTGCAAAAAGCCCGTTCAGTGATGAGCGTTAATTCGGTGATTCAGCCACAGAATCTGATCTATCCCTCTCCACATCTCAATACCCCTACAAATAAACGTATGTCCTAGAAGCAACATGTGCTGCTTGTTGACACAGGGTTACTCCGACAATCCCCACATTGAATCATGTTACCTGTGCGTGTTTACCCAACACCCACGTCCCCCTCGAGGGACCGCGTAACACTGACGGACGCTGGTCTCCATTATCACCCTGCTTTCTCTGTCCTTTGGCATCCGACTTGGCACTGCCCATCTACTTGTCCATTGTGGTTAGATGCTGAGGTGAGATGCGATAGCCGTGAGTGGTTGGAGTAGGCTATTCACATAGACAGGTACTTGGTTGGGATTTAGTAGACATGGGTGGGGTGTAGAAGGATGCATAGTGAAAGGACATAAGTCCTGAAGCTCTGTAATGAGTGGCCGAGCCTTTGGGAAACTGAACTAATTCTCAGTATCTCCTTTGCCTAACGACTGCTTGGGATCGAATGGTCAGAGAAGGTGACCTATTCACCTGATGATCAGGATTATATAGAGTGGTACATGTATACTCCACAGACAGGTGTGAATAAAAATCAACTTCATACGGATCCACTGAAGGGATGAACATAATATGGCACCATGGTCATTCACTTGAGAAGAATGGAGCGTTATAAATATACTGATTATTGTTGTTATTATTACCGAATAGATCGAATGGTGAGGTTGGGTAGAAAGTTCCAGATCGAATGGTGAGGCTGGATGACCAATTAAGTATCGAATGGTGAGGCTGGATGACCAATTAAGTATCGAATGGTGAGGCTGGGTGACCAATTAAGTATCGAATGGTGAGGCTGGGTGACCAATTAAGTATCGAATGGTGAGGCTGGGTGACCAATCAAGTATCGAATGGTGAGGCTGGGTGACCAATTAAGTATCGAATGGTGAGGCTGGGTGACCAATCAAGTATCGAATGGTGAGGCTGGGTGACCAATCAAGTATCGAATGGTGAGGCTGGGTGACCAATTAAGTATCGAATGGTGAGGCTGGGTGACCAATTAAGTATCGAATGGTGAGGCTGGGTGACCAATTAAGTATCGAATGGTGAGGCTGGGTGACCAATCAAGTCACTTTCGGTCGCTGATGTTCCTGGTCGGGATCAGTTACAGGATGTCGTGTTGAAGCAGATGCCTAGCTGGCTGCGGCATTTAGCGCTATTCGCTGATTCACGTTAGCTGAAAGGGTGTGTTGGCTGTTAGAGTGAACGGTTTTCTTTATTATACAGGCATATACTGTAACTTAGCAGAGTAGAGATACAGTTATATCCGGAGGGAAGATAACCCTTAACTTAAGGCTTAGTAATGCGTGCCTCAGTAGGGAGGGTGAGAAGGGGCTACACAGAGAAGGTACAGTAGGTCAGTATACCTATACATACCTACAGAGAGAAGTGAGTTTGCGAGATAGTCAAAGTAAACGGGTGACAAGTTCATACACGGACTAGAGTCGTGTACGGCTGAGAAGACGATTTGGATCCGTATCTAACCGTTCACATAAGGCACTTAACGTTCATTGATTGAGATATATATTGATTCGTTTGTTGTTTAATGCAGCACTCAGCAATATCCCAGCCATAAGACGGCGGTATGTAAATATTCGACTCTGGACCAGACAATGCAGTGATTTATATCACAAACATCGATCTACGGGATACGATGACATGTGTCAACCAAGTCAGCGAGCATGCCCATTCAATCCCGTTAGTCGCCTCTTACGAAAAGAAAGTTGCTAGAAACTAAACCTTACCCGGATCTTCTCTCGTTACCTAACGTTTATCTGCACGGTAACCCGGCGCATTGTTTATCGTACAACATAGGGATCGGATGGCAGCAAACGTGCCTCCGTACAAAGCTACTGTACCATATCCATATCTTGTCATAGCGTGTCAGCTTAATATTGGAGGAAGGGTGAAAGGGGTGTTTACCTTAGAGCTCTGTTTCGATGTCACATTACCAGATTACAGTACACCGTGGATTGGTTACTCACGCAACTTACGTGTAAATGTTGTGATAATTTGAATCATGACTACATGTGTTTTACATGGTGTGGGAAGTGTATGGAGGTGGGGAAACAACGCCCGTATAATATAACCATATATTCCCTGATTTCCTTGTATCGGGTGATAACAAGTGATAGTTTGTGCACGGAAGTGTTAATACAGCTATAACTAGTGTCTTTGTAATCACGCGACCTTTTCTTACGTAACACGTGATTTCTTTTTAACTTCATAACCCATCTCTAATGAACACATGGTTGGCTAATTAATTTTTGGGGTAAATTATTGACACCCAAATTATATATATTTTATATAGGTTTAAGGAAAGTATATATATATGTGTGTGTGTGTGTGTGTGTGTGTGTGTGTGTGTGTGTGTGTGTGTGTGTGTGTGTGTGTGTGTGTGTGTGTGTTGTGTGTTGTGTGTGCGGTCTTGTGCATAGGGCCCAGGACAAATCAGTTGAAATTAAGCAACGTTGGTCACTGATAGACCTTGGTTTGTAGCTTGACTCTAGCTTGACTGGCTCTACCTTGACTCTAGCTTGACTGGTGATAGTTTCTAGGACTTCTGTTCTCGCCAACAACGAAGCATACGTGACACATGTGGTCTCACCTTAGGCAAGTGAGTTTGTTCAAAATTGCCTCTGTTCAACCAGCAGAATATGGGTTCCCGGTGGGATAAATCTAGTCTGCCTCTTAGTCCTTGAACCACATTGTTTTCCGTATTGCCTAACTCTCCCTGCAATGCTGAATTGCTAAATGAAGCAAGTCTAGATTTCCTCAGGTTCAGGAATCTCCCATCTCACTGGGGCTCCTTTTCAATTTAAATGAGATTATTTGTCACTATCAGAATTACATATATTCAGAGACTAAGCGCTAGTCAGGAAAAGTCATATGACAATTAACCCTCCAGTGCCACACAGGCAGCATGGGTTATCCAGGGTAATAATGTCCATTATGTTGTGTGCACTTAGAGCATGCCCTTGTGGCGTGGAGTTCAGTGCTATGTAAGTGGCTAACTTTTAAAAGTAGTTTATCGATTTAATTTGTAACAAGTACCATCCCCCAACCAAATATCAAATCCGCCAAAAATCAGATAGGTCATCACGAAGAACATATTCAGCTGAAGCTATTAATAAAGCTACTGTTAATCAATGACCAGCCAATAAATAGTCACGGAAATACAACATATTTTCATCACAGGTGACTGGATCGATAGTTCCCGCTGATTGAGCAGGCCTTACTTTCCACACTGCGTAACGCTGCCAGGAGCTGTGAGCGAGCCTAGGCGACGCCTACAGCGCTACTTTCCTGCCGACAGAAGTTGTTGTACAGTGTGCTCCTGAGTCATTTAGAAGCGGTGTAGAGCAGAACAGTAGTCTAACCTTTCCTAACGCTCAGGATACAAATAATCTCAAGCTGTGAATGAAGCGAGTCCTCCAGAAGTGAAGCTCACACCAGGTATGTAGTTTTGCCTGTACATGCTATTTCAATCGATAGTATCGTCATGTCCCGTTCCTTGCAGGGAAGGCTCTATGACATGTGTAATAAGTATTAATTTATACGTACAATACGTTTATTGTTGTATATTAAGATGACGTCTAGCTGAAATGTGTTTTGAGTTTTTGAAAGTATAAAAGACTCGGCAGTATTCACACGGTTCAGTTATATTACATCGCAGTGCAGCTTTGACCTTTTTCCACTGATGAATGATGCTTCATCTGTCAGTGCAGCCTGTATCATTCCCGTGTTAAACGTGAACATTACATGACATAAGGATACGCATCGTGCAGTGTTGTAAGTACATGGCGGACAAGGGTTAATTTGTAACAGTTCAGACTGGCACTGTAACTACAATACCCAATATCTTGATTGATTACTTTGCACTATATGGCTGAGACCGAACCAAGTTTAGTATATGCATCTTTATACACCGACCAGGATATATAGAATTTATAGACAGTCACGCGTCATCGAACACGCATTGTGGGACCTATTCCTGTTGTGATAGACTAATCCACAGATATAAACTGAATATATCTTACATGGCCAGCCAGGACTGTCGCGTTCAGGTAGCTATTCAGGGTCGTAGTGACACATATCGATTGTGCTTGTTATTTACGCCGTTGTCGAAACTAGGTCACCGTCACGGTAATGGTTTTACAGTTATGAGACAGGAAATATTTCTCAAACCCCCGCGATATGTTCATCGTGATGAGAGACTCTGTATGCATGTAATTATAGAGTGCAGGGGGGTTGCCTGTCCCCCATCTAACACCGCGCTCTGATTGATACAGATGGAGAATTGGTGTTTTGGGAGTGATAACCAAAGGCTGAAGTGACAAGTGAAAGGACTTCATCAAGATTTTGTTCTCTAATGAAAATTCTATATTATTTTTTTTGCAAATCGTCCAAGGCCGTTTTATCCCAGTTCGTTTCGTAAAAGCACGATTTCACTCAAAGGGATTTAGCCCCGAACAGCCTTCTTGTTAATGCTTAACGTACGACTGAAATATGTTTAATGGTCCCCAGTTCGGTGTTTAATGGCATACCGACGAACAAGCCTTTAATCGTTTCAATTCCATAAAATCTTACACTGCAGTCTTTCATCAATTTATGGGAGGTTGAAACAAGTTTCTTCTTTTTTTTCCCGTCTCGAAATACAGCATCTAAAACAAACATTCATCAGACCAACATAAACAAAATAAAACTACTTAATCTAAATAAATATATTTTAGACGTTCTTCCCAAAACATAAAACTCTCATGAAAATGCAAGTTCAGCAGATTTTCGCTGATTGTAAGCCGTATCTGAAAACGCCACTGTGAAAGTTAAAGAACACAAAAAAATTGTGTTCTTTGAAAGAGGGTTCGTGTTACGGCCTATGGGTAAGGAATTCCTGTAGACTGGGTTCCTGGTCTCTGATATATCTGGTTTAATGTTCCCAGGCGGATCCGCAGTCTAACATAGGTAGCAGTTAAGACTTCCCTTCCTCGTTCTGCTTTGTTTGTTAACGTATACACACGGGATAACATTGTGATGCTGGGAAGGGGGTAAGGGAGCTGCAGTGATATGATTTGGACGGGGAGGGGGGTGGGGATGGTTGTTGATATGATATGAACAGATGTTCATCTCGTGTAGCCATCATAAGCTGATAACGCTTCGCCAGACTTGTGCCATTTGCTTTGTGATGGATAACATCTACCAAAGGATGCCTCAACGTGGGAGATGTTTAACGTCGTTACTACGCTTCTACACGCCAGATAATGGATATGGTAGTTAGGTAAATATGACGTATCGGAGTCTGCCAGACTACAGCTGTGGTACGTCGTTTGTAAGTCCAGTGTGGACCGGTATGGGTATGACCACCTCCGTACCAGGTGACACACGGTCAGGCGTGGTCAAGATGGTCCGTTCTTGTGACCATAGACTAAGGCTTAGTCTCTGAATATATATAATTTTGATAGTAACAAACAAGCCCATTTATATTGAAAAGGAGCCCTAGGGAGACCAGAGATTCAGAACCTGAGGAAATCTAGACTTGCTTTATTTGGGGCTTTAGCACTGCAGAGAGGGCTTGGCAGTAGGGAAATTCATGTGGTTCAGGGACTGTGAGACTGTGTGGCCACTGCCCTATGGGAATCGGTCAGGTTAGAATCGGTCCCTGACAACCACTGTTGGCAAAGGAGCGAAAACGTACATAGAACGTATTTACGTCTTTGGTATGAGGGGTCAGGGATCAGAGGTAGGCTCAGTGACTTTGTTGATAGAGTACCCTGCTGTTGTGGCTCGTGCTCGGATGTTGACACGCCGCTGTTATGTAGCCGGAGTATTGCTGAGAATGGGGAGACATTTTAAAGCATGGACTCTCTTTCCCCTTGGTGTGTATTTATCATGTTTTCCGTGACGTTGATACAGCAATATTCGGTTTCTCCCATACCAACATCCAGTCTCTGCCAACATTCACCTTATCTGATACCATCACTCCCCTCTCAGACCAACATCTTCAGCCACATACCAACATCCAACCCCTCATACCATCATCCGCTCTCTCATACCAGCACCAATTCTCTCTCATGCCGGGGCGGTGGGGTAGCCTAGTGGTTGAAGCGTTCGCTCGTCATGCCGAAGACCCGGGTTCGATTCCCCACATGGGTACAATGTGTGAAGCCCATTTCTGGTGTCCCCCGCCGTGATATTGCTGGAATGCTGCTAAAAGCGGCTTAAAACTAAACTCACTCTCTCATACCAAATTTCACTCTGATATACCAACACGATATACCACCATTCACTTTGATATATCACCATTCCCACTGATATACCACAATTCACTCTGATATAGCTCAATGATATACCACCATTCACTTTGATGTACCACCACGGTATATCACCATCCCTCTGATATAGCTCAATGATATACCACCATTCACTCTGATGTACCACCACGGTATATCACCATCCCTCTGATATACCTCAATGATATACCACCATTCACTTTGATGTACCTCCACGGTATATCACCATCCCTCTGATATACCTTGATAAACCACCATTCACCCTGATGTACCACCACGGTATATCACCATCCCTCTGATATACCTCAATGATATACCACAATTCACTCTGATATAGCTCAATGATATACCACCATTCACTCTGATGTACCACCACGGTATATCACCATCCCTCTGATATACCTCAATGATATACCACAATTCACTCTGATGTACCACCACGGTATATCACCATCCCTCTGATATACCTTGATAAACCACCATTCACTCTGATGTACCACCACGGTATATCACCATCCCTCTGATATACCTCAATGATATACCACAATTCACTCTGATATAGCTCAATGATATACCACCATTCACTCTGATGTACCACCACGGTATATCACCATCCCTCTGATATACCTCAATGATATACCACAATTCACTCTGATATAGCTCAATGATATACCACCATTCACTCTGATGTACCACCACGGTATATCACCATCCCTCTGATATACCTCAATGATATACCACCATTCACTTTGATATACTAATATGACATATCGCCCTTCACTCTGATATGCCAGCTTTCTCCAACCCACCCCTATTCACGATGATACACCACGATATTAAACTCAGAGGAGTAAATGAAAAGTACATTTCTTTTTCAAAGACTCTTCATCTACCAGTGTTTCCTGGCTGCACCTTGTACCCACATCTCCATTTGAAATATACGAGACACGTGACCCCCGAACCTCTGTTAATGTAACGGGTACTGGGAAGATTTACTGATATGGACAAGCTCTCATTGACTGAACCCGTAAAATCAATGACAGGGGTCATGAAATAGATTACCATTGTGACAATCTGTGAGGCGATCTGGAGATATATACAAGAAATACCACTCTGCCCTTTCATCCCGGGCTTGCGTTTCTTCAGAGGAAACAAATGATGGGGAATGTTTTGTGCTAGAAGAATGCGTCCATTATGTTGTCGAGTTCATTTTGACGCGGTGTCGTGTGTGAGAGAAAGGGCTCATGTTGTTGATAACTTGATAAGGGACATAGTTGCGGGTATATTTGTCTTATCAGACGAGTGGGGCAATTTTGAAGAGGTATGTTAGAGGTGTTATCAGTGGCGACTATAGGGTTCGGGGAGGGGGTGGGTGGGGAGCACAGTGGCGAAAATAGGGGACAGGTGTAGGGGTATGGCATCAACCTGGCCATGTATCTGATATCGAGTTTTAATGGTTTTGTATGATTGTCATATAGGTATGTTCGGTTTTGAGTCTGTTAATTACCACCAAGGTAACATTGCATACCATAAAGTAACCAGCAGTCAGGGTGCGATGCATTTGAGGTACGGTGTGTGTTTGACGGGTGGGGTGTACTTTCCTTATAAGACGGGTAGCCCCATACATAGAACCCGTACAACATGTGAATGATGGGTGGGAGCACGTGCTATGTTTGATAGGATGGGGTGTACAATATATATAGAGATGGTTGGGCTGTACGTGACATGCATGGTGTACGGTATACGTTTGACGGGTTGGTGTACGGTATATGTTTGACGGATGGGTATACGTGACATGTTTGACGAAAGGGGTGTAGGTATATGTTTGACGGGTGGGTGTACGGTATATGTTTGACGGGTATGTTTGACGGGTTGGGTGTACGGTATATGTTTGACGGACGGGTATACGTGGTGTTTGACGGTATATATGTTTGACGGGGTGTACGGGTATATGTTTGACGGGGGTGTTGACGGGTTGGTGTACGGTATTTGTGTTTGACGGGGTGTACGGTATACGGTCGGGTGGGTATATGTTTGACGGGTTGGTGTACGGTATATGTGTTTGACGGGTTTGACGGATGGTGTACGGTATATGACGGTTGGGTGACGGTATATGTTTGACGGGTGGGTGTATATATGTTTGACGGGTTGGTGTACGGTATATGT